GTCTGCAGGTGCGTCGAGCCGGCAGGTAGGCGGGCACTGCCTCGCTGCTTTATGCTCCTGAATATTTAAACCATCACCTGGCAGTGGATCTTTATTCTGTGCAGTAATAAAATGATTTCATGCAGAAAAGACAAACTGGGGACAAACAGCTTCTTCAGACTGTTAACAAACACCACACACACACACACACGTTTATTGTGTTTGCATCCGTAATTCTGTTGTGCGCACAAAGTGCTTTTCTATTGTTTCCCGAAATGAAACAGCAGAAAATGAGGAGCTTGATTCTTTTTCTCCTGCTTCAATCCTCAGAATGAAATCTTTGTCGTCCACGTGTGAGGACAGGACGCTCTGATGACTGCGCTCAGCTTCACTCACCTTTTTACAGGTAGCTGTCGCCATGTTTGTCCCCGAGTCACATTTACTCACAGAGAAAAACAATGAACAATGAGTCTGCTGCTGCAGGATGTGACTCAAGGAAGTGTGAAATCCTCTGTTTGCCGAGGCAGCAGCGTGAAAGCGTCGCAGAGAGTTTGTTCTTCAGTTCAAGTCAACTTTATTCATATAGTACAAACTCACAGCAGCCTCAAACACCTTTTATTGTGCAGTAAAGATCCTCCAATAAAACAGAAACCCAACAATCAGCCCCCTGTGAGCAAGCACTTGGTGACAGAAGGAAGGAAAAACTCCCTTTAAACAGGAAGAAGCTTCAGGCAGAACCAGGTAACCTTCATCTAGCCTCAAAATCGTTGTCTTCCTCCGGAGTCAAAGCATCAGCATCTTCTTCATTCGGCTTCTTTTCATTTTTAATGTAAACAAACCAACAAGAAGAAACATAAGAAACATCGCACACGTGCGGACCCACAGCCCGGCAACTAACTCCCTTTGTTACAGCCTTAAACTGAAGAAAGGACACAATAACAATAGAAACGCACAAAAAAGTCCAGAAACATCCCCAGACCTGTGTGATCCCGTCTCTGTCAGAGTCATTCTTAAGAAATCAAAGCAACACTTAAAATCACAAAGAAACAAACTGGAAGCTGCCGAGCTGCTCTGGGACGACTCGAAGATAAAACCTGGAGATTCTGGTTCCGGTGATGGTGGCTGCAGCGCTTCAGGAGAGGCTGAAACCTTCAGGAGGTCATCGCTCTTACTGCACAGCTCACCTGGCTTCCTGTCACCCTTCAATAAAAAGGACCAAATCTGAAACCTTAAAATGTCTTTTCCTGATTTTGTTTTATTCCCAGCAGCAGACAGAGTCCATGAAAGCCTCACACAGACAAGACA